CATAGAGGCCCTGATGAGTGAATATTGATATATATTTTTTTACTGGCTTTATATACCTTAGACCAGATTTTTTCTAGTTTGTTCAGTAGTATATTCTGCTAGAGGAATCTTCCAATCAATATGTGAAATTATTATTTTCTATGTGTTTGTATATAAATTGTTAATAAAATAACCTTTGGTAAAAATGAAAGGTAGAATATTTAAGCTATACATATAGGTGCTCATTTTAAACACTTGATATATATATGCAGTTAGTTTTATAGTAAAGTCTAATGGAAGGTTAAAAGAGGGACAGTATTTGTTACTGTAAGAGATATGCATTTTATGTTTAGACACTCACACAACTTAATCTTTATTATATGATATAAACTATTTGAGATTTTTATTTACTTTTATACAATTAACAATATCATGTACATTATAGTTTTCTTTCTACAAGATTATGAATTCCATCCAAACACCAATGTTAAAAGGATGATGTATTTATTTTTAATGGAACCTGAGAATTATTAATGTAATGTGCATACAAGTTTATCATGGTATATGTATATAATGTGTATTTGAAGACTGACAGTTATGATGGATGAGACTTGTATTTAAATTTATAAATGATAATACATATATTGATCAGTCTACAGGTTATAGATGTTTATACCCAGTGTTTCCTGGCTAATAATAGTATCTATAACAGAGTTTATATATTATAGTTTTCTTTCTACTAGATTTTGAATTCCATCCATTAGTACCAATGTTAATGTTAATGTTAGGATTTCATATTTATTTAATAGAAACTGGGAATTATTAATGTTATGTGCATACATGTATATCTTAGTATATTGATATGATGATACTTATAATATTTCTGAATTTAAAGTGTTTCAGTTATGTCATTATTATTAAAGGGATTAGACTTTCATTTAAAGTTATAAATGATAATACATGTATTGATTGAAAATGTCCTGAAACTTGGATCAAGCAATATAATTGATAAAGTCTCAAAAATCATATTCTGAATAGTTATTCTAATTTTTTTCTAACATGTGCATAGTTTGAAAAGGACAGCTTCTGTATTATCTATTTGTAATGGAGGGGCACTGGTCTCAATCTCCAGGTCTCTTGAGTCAACCCGACAACAGACTCTTCATAGAGTAGATTGTTACTTGTCCTTGAATAAATTTGTACACTAAATTTTATAGAGGGTGATTTGTGCCACATGAAAACCAACAAAGTACAGAAAGTAACCGGGCGCCAGATGAAAACATGAAAATACAATCTACCACAAAGTGGTTCGTTTGTTGCATTTTCATGTTTGCCCGGTGCCCTTGATGCAAAATACAAGTCAGCCTTCATAAAATTTCTTATCATAGAAAAAAGGTTAGTTTTTTATCTGTACAAAAAATAGATATTGTACATGTATTAGCACAGTTATGTTCACTTTTAAATTGACCTGTTATAAATAATGGCACAACCAATAACTGTCTAAGCCCTTTTTAGTAAAAATAATTATACAATGATATATAAATTGTTATTTTAATTAAGACTATGAGTATGTAAGGTTTTTTTTCTTATTTATTAATTAAGAATTAATTATCTGTTAATTTAAAAATCTAAATATCTGTGACGGATTAGAACTGTTCACTATTTAGGGGAGAAAATGTGTAAGCGGCCAGATAGCTCAATCGCTACAGCCGCGGTACATTATTCTGTGGGTCACATGTTTGAGTTCTGGTCAAGCTAAAAGTGTTTCTCATCCTGTGAATGCATATAACCATGAGTTTAATTCACTATGCTCTGTTAACATCAGAAATTCAAGGACATAAATCAATATAGTGGGGAAATATTTTGTGGTTAAGAACTGTTTCATTATTAAAGAGAAAATGTGTAGCCGGCCAGATAGCTCAGTTGGTCTTCTGAAAGTCATGTGTTCCAGTCATGGTCAGGCAGTTTCAGTCAGGGTTTATAAGTGGTTTATCAACTGACACATGTTTGATTCATTTAATAGAGTGCATTTAATTTGAAATGGACAAAGGCAGTATTGCATGATACTTTTAGATCTACAAAAAGCATTTGATACAGTTGATCACACTATACTGCACATGAAGAAGTTCTTTTTCTTCTTCTTCATGAAACTTCAAGCATCTGCCATATGTAATGACATTCTTACATGGTCCAAGTCTTATCTATGATAGAAGCTGGTTGATGTGGCTGGTACTCCTTCTACTACTGCTCAGTACCTATGGTGTCCCCCTGATGTTCATTTTAGGTCCTCTTTTATGTGTAATATATGTCTAATATATGTCAATGACATGTCTGCAACCCTAAGCAATAAGCTTTTATCATATGCACAGGTACAAGTATCAGACCTGGGAAGAAAAAATATGACCAGATTTTCTTCCCAGGTCTGATACTCGTGCCTGTGATTATATTATGATGATTCAGGTATCCTTGTATCTGGTAAAATAAATCTTAAGATTGGTTAATTGACTATAACTTGTCTCTGCATGTCTATTCGTTTTGGTTTAAGTTTCAACTTAAACTGGGCCTAGCCACCAGGTCACATGAAATGGTACTGCTATAAAGTAAACATCTTTTGTCAAGTATTTAGGTGCAAACCAAACCTGGATCAAACTCTTTTGGCGTCGCCCTTTGATGCTTTGCATCAATGCTTTTCTTGTTATACTTATTGTATTGTATATTGGTTTTGCCTCATGCTTGCAAAGCATATTTGATATAATTATGTGTATCAGTTAGGATTCCTAATTAATGGTTTTTTTCTCATGCAGTATTGCTCACCGTTGATTAACATGTAAGATAACATGACATGTAATCAATAAAATAATAAATGTTAATGGTTCGGCTGTTGGTATCCGACGATGCATTTTTCTAAGCTATAACCAAGATAATTAACCATTGGTACAAATTGTGAACCGACAATATCAACATATCTGCCAATCACTTGGCTTTGTCGCTGTTTTGTATTATTTTCCTCGGTAGGGATTAAAAGGGTAAAAAGGCCCCGTGTTCATAGTCATCTTAACTACTTATTTTCATAAAAAGATATTATACAGGGCATGTAATGACGTGTTCTACAGTTTGGGTACAATTTAGAACTTAGGCACGGTTAATGGCGGCGGCGACATTTCAAATGTGAATGTGCTTAGGATGTTAGGACCTTTTGTATAAAAAACTAAGGAATAACCATAAAGAATGACTAACTGCAGCCGAATAAACTGGTTTAACGCACCAGAAGAATACATTTTATGACTGAGACTAAAAAAAATGTGTTGGAGCACCAAACTAAATACCGTATTCCGGCACATACCGGTGACATGCTGCTAAACTCTCGCTTTTGCACCCACCGAAATGAACTCTGATTTATCTCTTCGCACTGATTTATTTACGATTTTGAATAAAAAACGAATGTAGGAATTGGGGAAAAAAGCGATATGTTCTTCTTTGTGATCATTCTGCAAGCGTTTAGAGGTATTGCTCTCAAACTGTAGGAACTGATTTGTATAAGTATCACTGTTTTAAGCACACACTGCGATCATTACCATTTTGTGAGAAGTTTCGCTGATTTTTTCCCACGACCTTCCCCAGCTGAAAATTCCTTGTGTTTATTATCATGTAAATTAATAAACTATAACTATTAAACTACTACTTATATTTGCTGAAATAGTTTTAAGAAAAGCAAAAAACAAGGTTTATCTGTTCTAGAAGACGGATGTGTCAAATATATTTTATCAAATATAGATCCAATATATTTTGTTTTATTTCACCGAAGTTGTTTCTAGAAGGTACTTACGATTCATACGATTATTTAACTTAAAAGGTTTTCCTCTTTTAAAAGCAATAATTTCACGCTGCCTTGACTATAACTTCAAATATTGCAACTCATTCCTTTCCTTTCTCTGTCCAACAATTTGAAATTTAAAGGATGATGATAATTTTAGAGTTTTTTTAAGGTCATATTATTTTATACAATAGTATGTGTTTTTGAATATGGTATTGGATATGTTTTATCTTTTTTCCTATCTTTCCGCCTCCCATTTTGAAACTTATATTATGATGTTGGTGGAACTTTTTGTTATCGTATCAGTTTTAAAAAAACAGGATGTGCCTTTTTCTCACGAATGTCTTCATTCTAAAATAAATTTGTAAATAACGATAATATTATATTTAAAATAATAAAATGATGGGGATATCAGTATCCGTGTTCCGTGTCTAGACATGATATTATCATTTAATTTTTTATTTGCATACAAGCAAGACAAACACCCATTCAAATAGGAGTATGAAATTATTTTGCTATAAACAACTTATATTATTTCGTATTTTGTTATAATGTGTGTAAATTTATCATAGATCGTTAATTCTAGTGTTTATTTTAAATTTTACAAAATAATAAGGTTGATCACATACTCGTGCTTTTGCGACTCCGTATAAATGGTATTGCACGGAAGTGGGCAACAGTTGTAAATGTCATCACTGATAACCGAGGGGCAACAGTTTATTGTTCCACAAACACCCATAAAATAACTGTTTTATTACATAATACTTTGCAATCAGACTACAATATATATTGCAACAACATTATAATAACATTTATACAACTGTTTTAATTGTTTACAACTGAATCCTTCAGACGAACCAATATCGTACATTGAGCTAGGCGGCGTTAACGGAAATACCCGACAGGGGTTAAACAGTTAAAAAAAATAAACAGTTGTATATAAGGAATTGCTATTTACAGAAGACATTAGGTAATACAAATTACACACGCTAAATGATAGCGAGCCACTCGCATAATTGATTTTATTCAACTCGTTAAATAAATTCAGTATTAAACTTACACTCACTCAATATCCTCTATATGATAGAAATCAAAATAATAAGATACTTATTTTTTAATAAACAAACTTATTAATCTACCGGTATTATATAATTATAGATAAATTATTTGTTTCATATTTAGGATTTAAATCAGAAGTCCAAAAACACTTATATATTAAAGAGTTATCTTAAAAGTATACTACTAATAGAGACATTTGTGTTAACAAATTTGAAATTTTGAATAATGTGCTTATATCATTCACTTTGCAGCAACTAGAAGCTGGTGGATGGGATTGAATGACCAACAATCAGAAGGATATTGGAAATGGACAGACACAAGTGCTCCAGCAAACTTTATCAAATGGGCTCCCGGTATACTTTATGTTAAATACATTGTTTTTAGATATTGCACTTATTATACGAGTATTGTATCATACTTTGGAACACAACTATTGAAAAAAATCGTATACCAATAAATGCACAGTGCGTTAACTGTTAAGATAGAATGGCATTGTAACTATCCAGATATTTCATCATTGTTTCTTTTCTTATTGGTAGCATCACTGGAAATATTAATATTGTATTTAATTTAGATCTAGACTAATAACTTATTTGTATTACACCGTCGGACCTTGGTGTTCGATTCTAAACTGCGTTACGTACTTAAGGGTCCAACTTATAATGCGTAACACACTTTGGGGTCAAATTTTGACCCTAGAGTGTGTTACACAGGTACATATGTAACTTTTGACATCAGGAAAATGACTGCATTTTGGGATCGTTAAAATTAGATCAATTAAAATGAATGTTAGCGATACATTAAAGGAATATCTTGCAGTTAATGCATGTTGTTAACTAAAAATAAGAATAAAGTAAGGGAAATGAATTAAGTCGGTTGACGATAGCAAACGATTGTCTTTTTTATTTTCATGCTCCTAGAAGGGAGAACATATAGTCGCGCTTAGTCCGTTTGTCCGACTATCCGTCCTTCCGTCCGTCCGCACAAATAGTTTAGGTATATGAGCTAACTAACGGTACACTGGGACAAAAGAGAACAGAGGACTTCATTTCGTAAATGATAGTTAGCTCATAAGGATACAATAGTTAGCCCACAAGGAAACAAAAGAAAAGAACAATAGAAATAGCTCATAAACCTGAAAAATTGGTACTTCCGATTTTCTTGTCCGTGAAATAAATCTGATATTATAAGAGGTATCAACAAAAAACTTTGTAAGTTGATAGATCTTATTGAACAGAAGTGTAGTACAAATGAACCCTAAGTCTACCTTACCTAATTTTGGAGTTATTGCCCTTTTGTTCATTTTTATATTTTGAAGTTTGTCCGGGACATAACTCTGAAACTACAAGAGGTATCAACAAGAAACTGCTTCTTAAAACCTTTTCGGAGAGCATCACCCGGTTCAGCCAGCTCTTGTATATCTACTTTTTTGCAATTTGCAATAAATTATAAGTTTCATATAAAATTAAATGTTGCCTAGAATAGTGGCCTTAAAGAACGATCCTTAGATTATGATTTTATGTTTGTTTATTAGATAGATAAAAGGGCATTCGACGAATACCTTTCATAAGCGATGGTCCACATATTTAGGAAACATAAAAAATGTAAAATAGGCTTGAAATGATTTTACAGCTGAAGTTCCCGCGCAACTTTACTATGATGAATGTTTTTTCTAACTTTCTTGGTGCAAGTCATTTAAACAGAAATTGAATTGTTTGAAAATAAGATGCAATGAGATGATACATGTATTTTCTGAACTTTATTACTTCCCCATCGTAATTAATTTTACGGTTCAATATTGCGCCAAACTTCATCAAGTATATGGCTGACATAAACGGAATGTGTGTGTGTACTCGGGAAAATGTTACCTGTCCCGACATGTCAAAAGTCAAAAAACACAGTTGAGTTCCTCTAAGGTTGTAACCACACTTAAGTGAAATTTTATATATGTTTATGATTATGCTTATAAAACAATTTTCAAACATGGAAGAATATTTAAAATATGTTATGCTAATATTTGTCGACATTATATTTAATCATTCAAATATATGCATTCATTTCTTATTGAAAATTTGACTTTAACTTTATAGAAAATAAAGCAGCCTGATAATCAGAAAATTACATATAAATATACATGTACATTGACTGTTTCAGGTCAACCTGAAGGTGGTAGAAAGCAGAATTGCGTTGTATACAGCATCCACCAAGCCCATCGTTGGCATGACGCAGACTGTCACACAAAATATTCAGTTATTTGCAAACAAGGTATTGTGCTATATTTTAGGTTAACATCGTATGAGCAGGTACTTACAACTAACATTTGATCCGCAAAGTAGTTGGGTTAATATTAATTATAATCAGGCTCTTTTTGCCCTAAGCAAATTGCGCATGCGCGAAAGACTACTACTTCCGGTCAATTTTTCATAGCAACGAACCGCGTCGTAAAAAGGTCTATAAGGACTATAATTATATACATTAACGCATTGATACAACACATTGATTTCATGTTTGCATTCTAAATAATAAGTGTGAGTCATTACAATATTATTGACGTGTTCAGTACGTACGTAGAATGTGTTTTTTTCTTTTTGAACGAATAATTTGAGATCTGCATATGTGGTCATGCATTTATGTAATGATTTCATGTGGTTATATTTCAGGAAACTAGGCATCAGGACGATAACGATATAAATCCGTGTTCATTGCCGTATTTGTCATGTTCCTAAAATAAACTTTCACATTATATTTGTTACGCACTATTTGTTATGAATGACGAACAGCAAATAACTAGCTATAACTCACACTTCTTAAACCATATAAATAGCATTTATAGATTGTTTTGACGTAAATACAGCTTTTTCTCTCTCTTTTTTTAACATCATTAAACACAGATTTACTTTTTGTACGCAGGAAAGATTGTACTCATTCCTATACCTTAAAAGGCTTCAAAGTTAATATAGACAATGTTTATATGTTTAGTATGCAGTCATCATGCAATAGTTTGTTTATTTGTCACCATTCAAACTATTAATATTAGTCAATGCTTTCATCATCAAAACTTTTTATCTGAACTTTAAATGTATTTAGCTTTTATATATCTTATCAAGTAATAAATTTTGCTTAAAAAAAATGTGTCAAACTTGTGATTAAAACTTCACATCAACACCTAACTGTAATTCTAGTTGTGTGTGACAAATTGCTAGAACGTTTTTTAGTATGTGTTTGCTTCCTAATATACCAGGGTTAATTTGTACGATTTTTCGAACGAAGTCCGTCTGATATCGGTTTGATTTCTTGTAAAATTGACAGGCAAGACTAAATATTAGAAGGATATCATTGTTCATTTTCAAATTGCAAACTGAAATCCGGGAATTTCATTGGCCTGTCTAAAATTAGTATTAATATCTCAAAATCTTTTTAAAACATATACACGTCCAAATTATAGAATAATCTAAAGGGGTATCGGAAACACACTAGTTTAATTTTCCGAATATTTCAGATCTGTGAACTTCCTCCCATTAAATATTTTACTCTGCTGCTTTAAAAATGTTCACCAATTCTCTAGTGAAAATCTTATTCAACATAAGCGTTTATCGAGTTATAAACGACATTATAAAATGACGAGACGACCAATAACGTTCACAATCCCAGAAAAACATGTGCATAGCGAAAGACACATTGCAAGCAAAAGTAGTTTTACCTCGTCCGAGTATCTTTTTAAAGATACTTCTTGTTGAAAAAAGCAACCGCTCACTTTACGAAAAGGACTATTTTGCACTCCGAGTTTGTACATAGGAGTACCGCCCCAAAAACGCTGATGAAATTCAAGAAAAAAATGTATTCTTGAAAATATAAGAAGTCGTAGCAAAGAATAATCACTTCATTTATGATTACTTGTAACTTGGCAACATTGTAGCCAATCGAAAATTGTAAACTTAAAAACATTGATATGCGATCTATTTTGCTACGTGGATTGAGATGCAAGTTTGTTGTGCAAATTGATTATGTTCGTTTAAATTTTGAATACAAATTCATCATCCTTGTAGAATGTTACTGTTGAACAACTTTTGCTACCACCAAAAAATTGCATAAGCAAGATTTTCAACGACTTGAATTTATATCGCTTTTGCACAAAAACTTCTCATATACCTTAGATGATGCAAACTATGAATGCAGATTGTATATGAACGATTATCATAAAAGAAACATTATTTATGCCGGCTCGCCACGGCGAGCCGGTATTACGTTAGGATTTTACTGAGAAACAACCTAAAAGTCCGAATACATCCAAAAATTTAATCGAAGCTTGGCTTCCAGCTTTCTATAAAAATTCATCTATCAGGGCTAGGATCCAAAATTATTTAGCCAATCAAATTTAATCTTACATAGCGTCAAAAAACCTTCAATTTTCACGCCATATTTAAAAAGCAGCAAGTATTGTTTTGAGCGCAAAGATATTATGATGATTAAAAATGCTTGTTTTCATGAATTCTTTTCAATAAATCATATTAACACTGACTTTTGATTTAGCGATTTCACCTGTTCCTCTGTAGTAAGTTTTCGTTTGGTTAATTAACATAAGTGTACACCTGGCCCCGTGTTCACAAAGATTTTAGGATCAGGATCAAGATCAGGATCAAATCTAAAAACTCAAATATTATCCATTGTTAATTCTTATAGATTAGATATTTAATATTAACTTGATAAAACTGGACTAGAAATAGCATGTTTTTGAAATTAAAGAATAAATTTATTGTAATTTTTGAAAGATATGGGCATTTTACAGTTAATCCAAATATTGATCTTGATCCTAAAATTGATCCTTATTTTGATCCCATTATTTTTGTATTTGTTTCGTTATTTGTCTATTTTATCCCAAAACAGGATTCTTTCTTTGCAAATCAGCAAAATATTACATTAACTTTATGTACCATTCAATTCTAACAAAATACGATCAATATTAGTTATTTAAAACAAAGAAAATAAAATCAGGATCACTTGATCCTGATCCTGATCTTTTCTTTGTGAACACGGGGCCTGGTTCTGTGCATTTTTTCTTTTTCCTTTTTTCCGGTCATTTTATCCTTTCCGGTATTTAGTGTATAATTATATTTACTGGCCGGGATCCGGGACGCCCGGACTGGCCGGGATCCGGGATCGTATAAGATATAGAGGAAAAACTTATAAACTATATTTGTGTTGATTATTGTCGTAATGAAAGGCCATTAAACGTAAAGTTTTTTTTATTGTATGTAATGAACGTTAAATTAATTAAACTTTGGATATAAATATATTTAGAGCTATTCATCAACAAACTTAAAAATCACAATACTTATAATTATATGCCTAATTAATTGGAAAAATCAAAGACTACATTCTTGAATTGGTCAAATCCCGGGATCCCTTTATGTTTTAATGCGATCCCAGCTTTTCTGAAAACTATATTCTTGAACTGGCCAATTCCTTGGATCTCTTTATACTTTAATACGATCCCGGCTTTTCTGAAAACTATATTCTTGAACTGGTCAATTCCCGGGATCCCTATATGTTTTAATAGGATCCTTGCTTATCTGAAAAGCATCTAAGACTGGTTAATTCCCGGGATCCCTATATTTTTAATAGGATCCCGGCTTTTCTGGCTGAATTAATTGACAACTTGTGTTTACTTTAAGACTTGTGTCTGTCACTCATTCCAATACTAAATATCATATTACAACTTAACTTCGTATAAAGAGACATCTTTATGAATTCTACCTATCTAACATTTATTTGGTCATGGTCAAAAGGCCATATAGTAAATGTGCATAGACATAGGGACTTCATTCTATCTGTTTACATGCATCTTCATATATACTCATATTCCTCTTTGTTAAACTGAGTGAAACTGGCTTCCATAACTTTATGTCACTTTTATTTTGATGTTCGCTGAAGTCTCTTCAGCTAACAGAACTGTCATTTTTACATTTAAACGCACCCCTGGAAAAAAAATTACGAAGCGAGTCGCTACTAGCTTTTTTAAAAGCTAACCTTGTCGAATTTACAGTAGAACGTTAAAACAACTATTGTTTTATGTATATAAACCCCAAACTGATAAAAAAAAGTTTATTTTGTACTCGACAATGATAAAAAAGTAGCATAGTATACAAATAAATCCGGAACAGTTTAAACAGCTTTTTATACTTATAGACATACCCCGAAAGCTAAGGGGAAGGAAGTTCAAATTGTTTGTTAATTTGGTTTTTTTAATACATGCGCATGTTTAAACTGAGATGCATGCATAAATACCCGAGATAAGGGACTGTGAAAGTGCAGGTCATATATGTACATATAGACTTGAAGGGCTCTGAAAAAGTGCGTAAACAAAATAAAAAAGGCTCCTGGTTATAAAATCATTTGTTATTCTGCAAGTAATTCTTACGTTTTTTCTATTTTGATTTGCAATGGAAATATGCGTTTGATTAACGAATGTGTTGTGAGGGATTTTGCATAAGATTTTTTATTTCCGTTGGGCCAAACTGTCAAACTGAGTCTGCTCTTTTGTAATGCGCCATGCTTGCAAGGTATCATCATGCATTTTAACATATGTTTATTTTTTCCATTTCAGAGATAAAGAAAAAGCTAAAACAAACTAAGATTACTGATTTCTTTGGATAGAGAACATTATGAATAGATCTTAAGTCACCAAGAGACCAGCATCAATCTTACTTAGTGTTTAAATATCAACTACCAGTAACAGTTAATATTTTATGATCACATTGGTAACAATTTAATGTTTTATCAACATTATATGAATGATGCAAACAACACTGTACTGTATTTTACATGTTTTCTCTTTTTTAAAAGGCAATTAAAGAAAAAGCATATAACCAATTATCTCTCTTATCTTAAAAGGGGCACATATACCATGTATATATTACATAGGAAAACTACACATGTACATATACATGTTGCAAAAAGTAAAATTATTAAATTTTACAGAATTCCATGAGTTTCAAAAGGAGATCAATATAACAAGAGCGACAATGCAGGGATCTCCCCTTAATTCTTCGATGTAGATCTCTGACACCACGGTCAGAATTTCTGATAAACTATATTTCCTTTTTTTTTAAATTATCTATAGCTTTTATCTATCAGTAATGTTTATTCTTATTGATTACAAAATGAATAATATGAATATATAGAAATTATTTTAAAAATTATCAAACTGTCATGCCACACCCTTTGTGGCAGTGTTTAGTGTACTTATAAAGGGAAGTAACCGTTGCGAGGAGTTTGGTTTTTGTATTTTCTGATCGCAGATCAGGAAATAAAATGCTGATATTCAATTTCTGGCACAGAATTTTCACGACAAACCTAACAATAAGTAGTTCTCAAAGCAGCTTAAAACTAGCGATGTAAAAAGAAAGAAATATCTTTATTTGTTACAAGTATCCAACAAATTACAACGCATTCAAAATTTAAAAGTAGCGTTGGCTTATAGAATTGTCAATAAAATGCACAATCAAAAAAAAACCTGGATGAATATCATCTTATCAATGAAAAATGCTATTTTGAGCGATGTCAATAACCGAATACTTCAAAGCGTAGTACACAAATAAATCTGACTGTCGAGTAGTGAAATATATACATGTCAGACTGTTTTGGCGAGAAGATTTTCGCTAAATTATTTACATCAGTGTTAAACAACAGGTTTATCGCGACCAAAATACCTCGAAATTAATAAGGATTAAAACCCCGAAATGGAAATTCCAAATTTAGAATTATTTGATTTTATTCAAGTTTTCTTCGTATAACTTCCTAGTGGTGCAGGTTTAGGGTGTGAGAGGTCTGGGGTTAAAATCCCAGTCGATGCAACTAATTTTTAAGTGTATTTTTTTAAGGACATAGCCACGATATGCAAGGATAAAGTGTGGCTGTCATGAAAAAATGAACATACATGTAAATGATTTTTGATTCAACTCTTGTTATGCAAAAATCCGTATATATCAAACTCAAACTGTTATAGTTAAAAATCTAAACGCAGTCGCTGCATCTCTGCCCTGTAAGATGAATTATAGTATATAAAAATAAACTTACACAGGAAAATACATACAGATAAACAACACGATTTAGATTGCAAAGATCAGAAAATACCATAGAGCTTGCAGCCCTTTGATTTTATACCGAACTA